GGTTTATTAGACAGTATATCCATGTGCTTATTTAATGATTATTTATTATGATGTAAATAATTAAATCTTGTAAATAGTTTGAGAACTGTCTGCAAGGGTGCTTGATTGTACGGGGAGGCTCTCCGCTCGGGGGCACTGCAGCAGCTTCCCAGGGGGGCTGGGCAGGGCGACTGGCTACCGGGTATCCCAGGATCCCATTATTCAGGTGAGGGCGCATGTAGTGTCGCACCCAGGGTTACAGGACAATGAAATGCTGTGGTTCTTGCTTTAAGTACCTCTCAGTACTCCTCTCTGCCTAAAGTGTTTTGTGGTGAACCAAAAAATTCTGGAGGTTCCCTGAGCCAGTGCTGCCTGTTACTTACTTTGTGTCCTCTCACTTACTCCACTGACAAGGTGAAGTTGGTGACCAGCGTGTTAACAAGAAGTGCCTAGCCTCGGCCTCCACACTCCTGGAAACTTCCAGCCTCCTGCTGAGTGATCTGGAGCAGGGTTTTCAAGCCATGTCAGAGTTGTACGTCAACCTCCTTCAGCTACCAACTGTTCTTCCTCTTGATGAGGGACTGAGTGAAGAAGTGAAAGATGAATTGACCTTGGCAGAGGTCCCTACACCCAACCCACTAGCAGTATGAGAACCACCTATGTGGATGTGCATGTTTTACCGCACCACCATGGGGTCGTTGAGATATATCATCAGTCAAAGCAAAAACGTTTTCCTGTGACACTTCTCACCGAGCTCCCAGAGGCATTGCAGTGCTATTTCCAAACACAATTTCTCAGTTTTCAGAGGTTTCGGGTTTTTTTTAAATGAGGTGTCATTTCCCTTGAAAAGCCGATGCTTCTCATGAAACCCAGAGCACCCTTTTTCTACAGCAAGCGACAGAATAGTCTTGCTCAGCCCTAGGTAGCATCTAGAATGGGGAGTCTCAACCTTTTTAGACTAGAGGCCCCATTTGTCAGACTCAAGGTGCCTCTTGGGAAATGCTAGTGCTCTTAGTTTGAATTCATTTTTTGACTACAGCAAAATGATCAAGCAGGTTTTCTGTTGCAAAGAACTGAGAGAGACCCCCAACAGGGCAGAATGCTTTTAAATCGCTGTATGAAATCTCAAGGTTTAGCTCGCGATTCGTGTGTGCCAGCCCCATAGCCCCAAAACTGGCACAAGAAACAAGGGGGAGTAACCACTTTTATACACGAGCCAACGGGCCAAAGGGAAGGAACAGGTAAAAGATAAAGGAACATCAACAACTGTGTGGATACATACTCAGCATCTTAATTTCCAAACACCCAACACCCCCGGCAGTGTCCCCAACCAAGCATTTAGGCCTGCAGTTGCCCCCCGGGTCTGAGTCCATCTCCTTCAATCCACACAGTCCCCTCCTGCTGCTGCCGGGGGCGGGGCCTGCCCGGAGCCAGGCGGGACCGCACCGGCCTCCGCGTCGCAGCTGCTGCGGAGCCGGCACCAGGTACCGGGGAGCGGGGGCCTCCTGCCTGCGCGTCCGGCCGCCCCTGCCCGGGGGTAGCGGGTGTTGGGGCACCGCTTAGGGGCTTCCCCTCTGCTTGCCCCCCTTGCATCCCCCCGTCCTCTCCTCTCCGCTTGGGGGTTTCTTGCTGTTCCTCCCCTGCTGAGCCCCTGGATCCCCCCTTCCCCCGGTCTGGTTTCCCTTTCTCCCTTGCTGGGCACTGAGCTCCGCCAGCCCGTCCTGTCGCCTCGCCCGGCCGGCAGCGCCCCAGCACCCACCGCTGCCGTTTTAGATCCAGACAGACG